AAGAAAAAAAAGCATGAGAAAAACATTACTTTACAAACCTTAAGAGTTAAAAAAAATTTATATTTTGCATATGAAAGCATTGTAATGTTTACTGATAATCTTTCATATTTAGTTAACATTCACTTACTAATTTAAAAGTTATAGCATGAAAACTATAACAAGCACAAAATGGTTACGGGGTCGGTACCAGGGACTGAGCCCATGCTGAAAGAGTTAAATTACTTGTTTATCTGAATCCTGATTTAACCATTAAAAATATAGTGTACTTTTATGCTGATGAAATAATATTTAAAACTAAACTTAAAACTAGTGTATACTATCATTCTTATAGACAAAATTGATAAACTCGTATGTTTGACTTTTATTAATTTGTTAAATGTTTGCTTCAAATTTATTGTTTTTTTTGTTAAAGTTTGTTCAGTGATTGCCAGAGGTGGAAAAATTTGCAGATTTCCTTGTATATAAAATCTTCTTGATCAAACTTTCATCATGAACTTTTTCTGAACTTATTAATAAATGCTGGTTGATTAACTATTCCAACATGGGGTTGGTCGATTTGAGAGTCATTTAGCCTGTACTAATTTAAAGTTGACAAATTTAATACTTAACTCTCTATATATAGGGTATATCTTCACGAAATTTGGCAGTCTTTCAGCTAATATCACAAGTCTTTCACATACAAAAAGTCATATTTCTTAGTGAAGTACTTTTACTAAAATAAAATAAAGTTTTGTCCATGAATATATTGTATTTGTTTTGAATAGTCCGTGTGCAAAGTAATTTTCATGTTAAAATCAAAAATACTTTTTATCATCTCAAAATCTCAAATTTCCTTTGTGTAATCCCTAAAACCTCCTAAATGCATTTCAAATGTTTTTTTTCACTAAATCCTTATAGTTTGTTATTTTCTTTACCCTAATCTCAAAACTGGTTCAGTCAATTCGCCCGACCTCGTAACCACCAAAAACAAAATCGAAATAAACCTAAATTAACCTTATTTTCTTTTAAGTATGACTACAGATTGTAACCTGAAACTACATTTGTTTATCCTAAGTAGCTCTAAGTTCGTAACATTATACATCTATTTATAATTAAATTTTATTGTTTTATTGCCCTTTGAATTGTGTCTAACTGCTGTCTGTGCCATTATAAGTTGTAAATCACTCGGGGAACGCGCAGGTCACGTTACGCTATCGAATTACATTACCAACGAGCTGCTCGCATGCGTGGTTCATGAACAATTTTAATTATATTATTATTATTACTTATTTTACCTATTCTAGTCTTAAATAACTTACAAAGATCCATACTTTTAATTTTAGTTACTTTTATAATAATAAATAAAGAATAAATATGAAAAACAAGAAATAAAGTACTTATCCAATCTTATTTTTTCTTGCCCTCGATTTTCAAGTAGACTTAAGCCTGATTTTTATATATATCGATTATAGTAAAATACTTAACAATTTTTACTTACTTAAATAATACACCAAAGAATATAGACTATAACATGTCAAAAATAGACAAATTCACTTACTTCTAACTTTCTAACTATGAGACAAGAGCTGTTAGAAATTCATCCAAGCTAGTCGTTAACTTTCACATGGGAACAAAGTTGCTACTCAGAGTAAAATTGATGGTTATCTGTTCAAGACACAGTTATACAACACGTTATTTGATAGATGAAAACCTTGACTTTGTATTGGTTATAAATAATATATAATGAAACATAAGAGAGAACTATCAACCAATTGTGAAAGAGAGGGTGTGGCAGGAGGGGTCTGATTTTCTCTTTGACGGCTCTGTAACAAAACAAAATTGAAGTCTATAAAAATTATTTTGTTTGAGCAATAATGATTTTATAGAAAGCATTTTACATTTAATTTTGTACATTTTCGAGGGGTGATGGATAAAATAGGGATGATGACATGCTAAGACAAAATTTGTCATGTGTGTTACACTAGTGGAAATTCAGGATTTTTTATATATTTCCTTTTAGAATTAAGAACTTAACTTGTATACTATTAAAATATGGATTATTACCTAAGATTTTATGCTATATTCGAAGTGGTATAACATAAACAAAATGTAGCTTAATAAAATTTTGAATGTAAGACACTAAAACCTTGTGTCATGCGCAGTAAAGGGTGCCCGTGCTGATAGAGATAATGCCGGAGTATTGCAGCAGAAGCAAACCTATGGTTTAACTCATTAATGGAGTTTACTTTGCAATTACTACAAACAATTAAAGAAGATAAAGTTATCAAGGAAATTAAGAACTCATAAGATTAGAGTTGTAGAACAATACTACAGGATCAAGTGAATTTAACTGGGCTTAACATTAATGGCAGAGTAGAAATTCTTGGATTTTTTTTCCATAGAATGGTCAACAATCTCTGACACTTTATAAAACCTAATCTATTCTATACTTAGATATTTGCAGTGTCACTTTGATCTACCTTTAAAATAATGATCCATTGCTCTCTCTAAAAGAACATTGCAGTAAGCTTTAGGAGGATCCTTTCGATTGAATCATGGCTTTGTTTCATATGATTTTTAATTTCCTGCCCTTAGAATGAACAAGAATTTCCTTTTTTCATGTGGAAATTAATTTTGCTCTTCTTCACAAGGAAATTTGAAATGAAAAGGGGAATTTTTTGTTGCTTCAGTCTGACATATAATAATTTTTACATGAACTAGAAGAAATATTATTTCCCTTCCCATTGCTAGGCTGGACGTGGCTTTCCTGGTGGTTACCACACCCAACTGTATAGCTGGTTCGTGGGTTAAGTCCGATTGTCATAAAAAAAAAAAAAAAAAAAAAAAAAAAAAATTCATTTTGTACTTTGGAGCCATGGGTGAGCTATTAAAGTAACCGTTAAATCCTACTATTCTGTCAGACCAGAGTAGCCAAGAGTTAACGGTGGATGTTGTTGACTAGATAACTTCTCTCTAGTTTAGCAGTTCAAAATTAAGTCTAACTTTTCTGTATGATTTAAAGTAAAAATTATAAACCAAATAACCTAGTTATTGCTTAACTCAGTGTGGCCAAGCAAAGTTTCATAAATGATTGAGATCCACTGTTTTACTCTATCAATAACTGCTTTTATTGGTTAAGTGTAGAATGACTTTTATTCTTAAATACAGAATTGTATTCAGTTATTTAACCATATTTCAATGGTTTAGTTTCCATTAGACCAACCCTGTATCCGTGAAGCTATATATATATATATATATATATATATACTATAACTCTGAATTTATTACACGTGTCATGAAATTTTGCAAGGTTTTTAGTAAACATTATAAAGTCTGTTGTACACATAAATCAGAATATTTAATTAGTGTTTCTACTAAAGATTTATCCAAAGCCTTTACGAAGTCAATGTAAGTGCAAGGTGTTACTTTCTCTCCCTTAAAACTTAACTATAGCAAAATCTCAATGTACAGTGAAATAAGTTTTAAAAATTATGAAATGAAACAAACATAACCATTTTATTTTGTTGTTTAAATGGCTTCTTTCTCTGGATTAATGGCTTTTGATTTTCACAATTTTAAGTGTTAATCTTTTCACATCTGTTTCATTTAGTTTTACAGTAATAATAAATGCTGTAGTTCCTACCTACTTTAGTCTATACACGTCAAGATCTTTTGAACTATTGGCTTTGACTGCCAAAAATAATCAGATTCACATTGTTTAGAATATTCTCTTCCTGTTTGTTATAAACATGTACAAAGAACAAGTAAGTGGCTCTAGCTAGTTTTATTCTTCATGACATGGATGCTTCCAATTTAGAAAGGTAACTTTGTATTTTGATAGTTCCATTTAGGAACATACACCTTTGTTTTTTCAATGTTTTCAAACTTACTTGTTACATATCTAATTGGTATTCATGTCTGTTCTTTTGTATCTTCCTCTACTAAGTTTATTTCTTGAAATTGATCTGGCTGTGAGCAGAACTTCCTACAACCTCATGTTTAAATGTGTTGTGTATATAGAAGTGTAGTTCTTGTACTGATACTAATTTCATTCTACTTTTAAACTTATTCCTGAAATGCATATTGTGATTTCCAGTGATTGGACGAGTATAGCCAACATCCTGGCCCACTATTTTCTAACAGACATTAACAAGGCTTGCCATAAGGTCAAAGATGAGAGTACATCTTCGGAGGATAATGAGGAGAATGAAGTAGAACCCTTGCGGATATATTTGTTGGAAGAGAGAGGGTGGAGAATTGTTCGAGTTTTGAAAAGCATTGGTGTCAAGGTATGATCCAAGTTTATATATTGATTTAACTACAGTCCTATGGCTCATATTCAGGTGAAATTGAAGTATTCATGAACAACAAAACATTTAAAGAGGCATCACTTTTATTTTTTTAATGTAAGAGTTAAAATAATTTTGAAATTGGAACACACATTATTACAGTAATCTTTTATGATTTGAAAATTCTGAGGCTTTTTGTAGAAAGTGATTAACAGGTCAGTATAAAAGGAATTGGCAAAGGTATAATGACAAGTAAATATTGGAAATAGAGGAAGACATACTGCCTTGTCTGGAAGAAAGAGTTAAAATACAACAGGAAAACAAGTAGTAGATGATTGCTTTAAAACATAACAAAGAGGCTGAAAAGCTCAAAATGAATGCAAACAATTACAAACTGTTGGGTAATGTACATGTTTATTTAATTTCATCTGCTTAATTATTAATATCAAAGTATGTGTACTGGCAACCTATTTTCAGTCTCGGAGGCAAAGAATCTGATAAGCAAAATGGCACTAAAGGACAAAATTGTCACAGACTTCATTGAAAGTTTCAAAGCACCTATGTTTCTTTTGTAAAATACTTGCTGAAAAATATGCCCGTCAACAACAACTTGCTAAAGATCCTTGGTGGCATGGTAGCAATGTACATGTAACCTACTTACAGTGGTTACAAATGTTTTCACAGGAACAGTATGATGTGGAGGTAAGAAAATTACACTTTACCAGTGACTTGCCAGTTTTTGAAGATGATCAGCTTATTGGTTTTCTGATTTTTTTCGATGAAGAACTGCTTTCATGGTTTGGTGACGGAAGGTTCATTTAACTGAATGTGCGTGGGTTTTTTCCATTGGAATGACTCCGTATTGGAGAAGAAATATTGACTGAAATTCTGAATTTACTACTTGTATCTATACGAAATGTGTTGGACTTTTAGTAAAATGTCCAAATCTGTTTTATGCAAAAATAAACAAATCTGAGTTACAAAAGTATATCTGTGAATTGACAAAGTCAGTCTGTCTTGGACTCTGACAAGTTAGAGTGTAAGGTGATGTCTATGTGAAAAAATACTTTTGTTCGTTGTACAGTTTAGCCTTTTGTATTTATATAACTTATGAAACTTCTAAAATATGTAGCTACCGTTTTTTTTCAGTATCCCTGTACACTGTATCTGGTATTTACTCTCCTCTACCATAAACTATTGTTAAATTAAAGTAAAATTAATAGTTGATAACTTTGACTTCAAATACATAATATAGTGTTGAATGGCACTTTGTGAAAGGTTGTGGCTTTCGAGCTTTGACCTCCACTTGTGCACGTAGGGCTGACTCCTTCCATGTTGGACTTTTTCTTGGAAATGAACTAAAAAAAAAGTCAGGATTTTTATTTCACTTTTTTTTGTTAGACTATGCTTGTTTATTAATAGAACAAAAGTTCTTTTATAATCTGTTGTTTCTGCACAAAATATGCTCGATAAATATATGTTACATATCTGGATTTATTTCAACGAAGTTACAGTAAAGAATAGAAATGCTTTTTTCCAGTGTGTAACATACACAATTCAGAATAAATCCAATAGAAATCAGCACAAACAGCATTTCCACTGCCATCTAGTGAGCACTGATTGTAATATTCGATAACATGCTATTAAGTTTGGGCATTAAAAATACCTTGAGAAATGGTTTACCCATATTAACTCGGGCAAATATTTTTTGAAACGTGGAGGGTGTCTGGGTTATCTCTGGCAAATCACAGAAGGGGTTAAAATCATGGGTGTCTTTAGAGACTCCAGCAGGTCAGGCAAACTAAACATGAAAACATGCAGTGACATTCAAACTGTAAAGTGCAGAGAAATTGGCTATCTAGGTGTTACACAAGGTTGGACCCCTACATGATTGTGTTAATGTAACACTGTAAAACCATAAGTCTCCATGTTCTTGAGACAGGAAAGTTAAGTACAGCTACAGCAGCAGGTCCAATTTAGACATTATCTACAATCCCTATTTGTTCAAAAGAAAGGGTAATGAGCTGTTGTACAAAGTAGCCAAGAGAGCCACAAAGCTAAAGGAAGGACAGCAGCTAAAGTAAAGACTGCTCAACAAATAAATGTATCCAGTTCTAACATTTCAGTTAGATGTTTGTATTTTTTTTTTTTCTTTTTTTGTGGTGATTTTATTTTTGGGGTCTTATAAAATGTTTCTGCTGTAAAGTTGTATTGCCTCATGAAAATGGTTTGAAGAAGTAGGTTTATGATATCTGAGCTAGACAAAATGACCATTGACCAAAACATTGTACTTGTTTTTCAAAACATTCTTCCTTACTGTAAGAGCTGTAACATGTAATAATAATAAATTATAATTATTAGGTGAACTCAAAAGTAAACTAAATTTCTAGATTGTGTTGAATGCTTTTTTATGTAATGTTTGTAATGTGGAGAGCCCTCTATATTTAATTTTCAAGATAGGATACTAGTTGTTAGTAATAATACTATGCTAATAGGAAACTTCAAAATGCTCTTAAAGAAAGTATATAACCATAAGCAACAGCCAAACTTCTTGCTAATCTAATACAGAAGAAAATAGCATAGGACAATAGAATGTGAGAAGAAAACCGAAACCAAAAGGAATTAGTGTATAGGAAATGAAGGTATTTACAGAATGTGAGAAGAAAACCGAAACCAAAAGGAACTATTGTATAGGAAATGAAGGTATTTACAGAATGTGAGAAGAAAACCAAAACCAAAAGGAACTAGTGTATAGGAAATGAAGGTATTTACAGAATGTGAGAAGAAAACCAAAACCAAAAGGAACTAGTGTATAGGAAATGAAGGTATTTACAGAATGTGAGAAGAAAACCGAAACCAAAAGGAACTAATGTATAGGAAATGAAGGTATTTACAGATAATTAAAAGATGTTTTAAAACTGTCAGTAACTAAACAGTGTTACTAACTAATGAACCACACATTTTCAACTTAAGCTTCACCAATTTTTTTTTCTATACATCCAAAGAATAAAAAATGTTGTTTTATACATTTGTATTTGTTTCAAACGTATAAGGAGAAGTCATTTTTTGTACAAACAAAATCTATTCTCTTTCCTGGACAAATAATAAGATTTTGTGTTATATTCAGTAGTACAAATATGCATAATGTGTATTCAGTTTTAAACACAAGGAAATTTCTTGTTTTACAAATTAATACAGGCAAGGTTTGTTTAACCCTGTGTATAAATAGTGGGATACTTAGTGTTCTGCTTTAGACATACAATAAAAATGTAAATTCTGTTTTGTATATATGTGTAGAATGCAAAGGTGGATTTGCTTCTTATACTTACGGTAGGATGTGTATTTTGTATTATACACACACACACACACACACACACACACACACACACACACACACACACACACACACACACACACACACACACACACACACTAC